AATTCTGTCTGTCTATAGGTCAGGCCATTCAAAAGTAGCGCCAGAAACTTCACTGAAGCGAAGGGCAGTTTGAGAGTTCTTCGCAAAGACTTACGGTGAAAATATTTTAATGGTACCATTATACATGGCTAGAGTAAATGGGGTGCTGTCAACCCCTAAATCAAATTTTTTCGCACATAAACTGCATAAAATTTGGTTTTAGTTTTGCAAGCGAAACGCCTAACTTGTTTAACAGCGACCAGGTTTACAAAAAATTCACGAACAATTCATATCTTATGTCTCCAAATTCTGCTTCAGCATTGAAACACTTTCTTAACTTGAGGACTTCCAACAAAATTTACTTATTTTGTCTGCGTCTACACAATAGTCAACAACCTTTCCAAAGTTCTCCAGCGTTGCCAGCAAGGTTTTAAGTACTGTTCAGCAGCTGCAAAGAATAAGCAAAGTTATCATCAATACTTTATTCCACTTAGTGTTTTTTACAAACAGTGTTTTTCGTAAACGAAAGACTGTTGTAAATGAGCCTAAGATGATGTAATTCTATTAAACTCAAAAGTTCTATACAGAATGACAATACACTACTCGTCAGAAAGCCACAGACCCCAAATTTCTAAAATTACTGACTGAAAACTGAACAACAATTTCATCCTTTGAAAGAACGCCTAATAGTCCAGACCATCTCATATAAGACTGAAAAGTTATGAAGGAATTACAAAAACTGAAATCGTAAAAAAAACAATTAAATAGCCCTTCTAGACAGGCCTGATGCAGCAATTTCGCCGTCTAGGAACTCCTCAACAGCAAACAAGAGTTGTATTCTAGTAACATCACACTCCAAAACGCAGTTTACAATAATAGACAACTAACAAGATTACATCCTTTGCAACAAAGTAAAAACAGTTCTTTCACGACAAAATTTTAGTATTCTTCATTGAAAGGATAATGTTTATGAGTGTTATCTCGAGTAACACTCACAATACGCCAGTTGCGATCTAGTCCATCAATCTGCTTCACCTCTTCCGCAGATAACGTGAAATTAAATATGTCGAAGTTTTCTTTTATTCTCTTCTCCGAAGACGACTTTGGTATGACACTGATATTGTTTTGTATTGCCCAACGAAGACATACCTGAAAAGCGTCTGCTAAGCACAAACGCGAAATAAATCTTATAGCTCCAAAAGTATAAAAAAACTCGTAAAAATATTAGACAGTCTTACATACCTTGTGACATTTGTACATGGAAAACTACAGATATTCACTATATTAAACTTTTTCAAGCCGATAAAAGCAACCAAAATACGATTTCAGCATAAACGTTACTTGTGCTGGAGTTTTGGAATGAGCAGCAGCAATTTTTACTATAGTCGGGTCTTCCAAAATATTTGGGTCACCCTTATTACGAAAGATAGGCATGTTTGGGTTACCAAGAGGAGAATAAGCAGTGATCGCTAGATTTTTCTCTTTACAAAAATCTCTAATTTTCTTCTGTTGGAAATATGGATGAAGCTCAACCTAAAAAAAAAAGTAGAAGCAGTGAGGAGGAAGAAACACCTATACAACAATAAAAATGAACGGCAATTCGAGTTTTAAACAACAGAAAGATCTTATTCGTATAAAACATGAAACACCTAGTATACCTGAAGAACCGATGGCTTAACTTCGGCATTATCAATAACCCTCTGTATCTGCTTGTGATTAAAATTGGAAAGCCCAATCGCCCGAACTTTTTTCGCCTTATAAGCTTCCTCTAATGCTTTCCATGTTTCCAAATAATCAACGTCAGCCTTTTTTACATGCACACCATCTGCCTCCTAGAAAACAGAGAAGTCAGCCATACAAAACAAATTCTCGTAATCCAACTCAATAAATACCGCTGTTTTTCAGAATAGGCTAAGAAAACCGGTGTAAAAAAGTCAAAAAACGCCTTAGTCAAAATAATAGACTAGGCTGTATTAACGTGGCAACGGAAACTGAGAAAAGAAAACAGAGTTGTTGTAAATTGTAAAAATAGACAAAAAACTACCATTGGAAACAAGTCTCCTCCTTCTTCGTAAGCCTGGGGCCAATGAATGAGTAACAAATTGAAGTAATCCAACTGCATTTCAGCCAACATATCATCAATTGATTTCTTTGCCCGTTCAAACGAGTGGAAACTATTCCAGAGCTTTGTTGTAATAAAAACATCCTCCCTCTAAACAACTTCAAAAAATCGAGAAAAAACCGTAAAGAAGTCTAAGTTTTTTACCAAGTGATTCTCTGCCAATATAGGTGAATGAGAATACTAAGTCGGAATATCATTGAAAAGCAAGACAGTAATAACAGAAATAATAAAATATGGGTACGGGCAGGTAAGAAAGTAACACAGGATCACCTTAATTTTTCCTTCATTGAAAACCTCCTTTAATGCATTTCCAATTTCCTTCTGATTTCCGTAGCACAGAGCACAGTCTAAAAGTCGATAGCCGCTATTCAGTGCCACTTTCACAGCATTCTCAACTTCACCTGTTTTCGAGTTCCATGTCCCAAGGCCCATAGAAGGCATTTTTTCGCCATTATTCAGTTCCATACAGTGAGACATTATTCAGGGAACCTAAAATAAAAAAGAAAATGTGTAATAACTGAGCAATAATTAGTAAAATCAAGCCAGACGTAAGTAATTTCACTTGACAGTTTAGTAATCGTCCGTCAAGTGACCAATGAAAAACAAATTTCTAAGTGTTTTGAGAAACAGTAGCACCAAAAATTTCTTTAGCAAACATTATAAATGCAATAAATTAGAAAAAATTTGTTTGATGCTTGCAAATAATTCTGGCGGAACGACTAAAACATTTTATTTCAGTTTGCTGATGGTTCAAAGTATACTTTGCCATAATTACTGTTTTTTGTTTTGAATGATAATAACTGTTGTAAACTGTGCTGATAATTAGTGTAAAAGTGCTGTGAAACAGAAACGAACATTAAAAAAATGTATAAATAAAAAAACTTTATACAAAGCTTTTAGAACTTCTATATAAACGAAGAAGGAAACAGTACATATTGGAAATAGATAAAAAAAGTGAACAGATAAAAAAACTTTCAAGGAAGGAAACAGCATATATTGGAAGTGAGAGAGAACAATCTACTTAATCACATTTTTGGAAAGCAAAACTAAACTACAGCAAGAAACTTTTTCAGAAGTGGGGGATCATCAAAAGGCTGTTACCATTGATGATCGATATCTACTGAACGACAATGATTGCAACTTTTCTTTTTTTTTTTTTTTGTTTCATTAGTAGAGCAATACGATGGTGTCAACAACTGAAGCTGTTGATCTTCTAAACAGCACGAAGTGTGGGCGTGGACTGAGCGTAAACTAATGAATTCTAACTGATCTGAGGTTCATATATGTAATTAGCAGTGAAGGTATGACCTGTCTTGGTAGGAGAAGGATCACTAACAGGCTAAGTTCCAGTAAGCAATCTTCATTTCTGCGTTAGGATTAATGAGACTGTTAAGAAAAGTACAAGCAACGTTGTGTCTGGAAAGAGAACTTACACCTAAATTAGCAGGTATGGTATAATTCAGTTAATGTCATTGCTTGAATAAAGATTTGCGGACTACAATTAACATAACATCTATGAAAATTAAATAAAAAAAGATGAAATAGGGAGGACAGCAGAACACAAAGTAGATACGTCTCGACGGCAAGGTGTTTAGTTGATTTACTAAATAATTGCCTGATTTATACATTAGAAAAAACCTGACGTTTTGGTAATCCATTTTGCACAAAAAAAATAACACTTATCTATTATTTGGGTTTATAAAAATTTTCATGTCTCAAAAATTTGCTACACGGAAAGCTTAAAAAGTAGGAACAGAGAACAACAGTTTTACGTCTAGTTGTTAGGAATGCTAAAATAGGGAACTTTGTTAGCCATTGATAAATTTATCAAGAAGCTTTGCGGAAAATGAATAGTGAGACAAAGATATACTGTAAAGTCAGTATTGAGATGGCACCTAAGCAAAGTTTAGATTTTCAAGTAAAATTAAGTAAAGAAAAGAAATTTTGTGTGAACTGACAAGCAGACAGAAAATAGCAAATTGAGCAAAAAATTTAACAGATAATCTGAATGAAGAATTATTTTACAAAATGGAATTTATGTTAAATTAAAATCGCAAATTTGAATCAGTTTCGTGGTGCTTCTAAAAAAAAGACAAAAACGCGTAATAAAAGCCAAAAAGCTATTTCAGTACCCAATAAAATCGTTGTCTGTTCTTTCCCTTTTCTCCTCATTTTTTCCGACTCTCTTTTAGTCAGTGTCTTTTCACAGTTTTTTGTTTTTCTGATTAATATATCAAATCGATCAGCTTAATTTTTATATGAAATATATATAAATCGTTTAGCTGCTTATTTTTGGCTGTAAGAAAAAAATTCTCAATGAACTTTATTTATTACTACGAACTTTTATTAGAACCTATTTCCTCGATACTTTTTTTTTGCATTTAAAATCGTTGTTTTTTTTTCATAGAATTTAAATTAGTCTTTTGAGCTGTTTAAGATCAAAAAAA